ATGGTGAAAGCGCCCAACCGGGCAAATTCGTAGGTTCGATTCCTGCTGGATGCGTCGTCAAGAAGGATTTCCGGGAATTCCTTTTCTGTTTCAATAGAATCTCTCCTTGAGTTTTAGCTCCTAGTTTGGAACTATGGTAAAGTAGTCCCTTAGCTGCCTGCCTTGATTCCCGAGTCACAGTAGCTACGCGTAAGTAAGCGTGGGCAATAGAACGGAATGGAATAGTTGTTGCATTTATTCAAGCAAGGAGCGGGGTATTTTACTCGCGGGAATAAGGGAATGCGATGTCAAAAAGAAAGGATTGAATGGATGAGCGGAGCAGTGAGTGTAAGCGAACGGACCGGGCATGTGATATGCTTGAGAGGGGGGATAGTTTTCTTTGATGGAGATGTCCTGGTGTCAGCAACGGGAGCAATGAGAGCAAATCTGGTAATGAGGCGGGGGCGAAACGAAACTCTGGTTTCCGTGTATGGTATGTGTGGATTGTAGCGCAGAACAGGGCTTGACTGGAAAAGTAGTGAAATGGCAAAATAGGAAGTCTCACTATAGGCTAGGAGCCATCGATTAGCTCGGCTTGTCCTATGTTTTAGCTTCACTCATCGTATCGGCTGTTGTGTAAGGGTTGACCTTAAGAGCTCTGGTCTAGCGGCCGTTAGATGTCCTTTATAGCCACCGTGACTTTGACTTGTTTTCTGCTCTGATCGTAGATCTACTACGGCTGCGGCTTTCTCTTGCTGATTTCGCTATTTCCATCCTTGAGTATTGGATATCGTGTGAGTCTTCTCCCAGTTGTTGCTTAGCTGCTTTCTGGGCATCGCTCTCTGTTTTTACAAGCAATTAAGTAAACCCCTTGGCTTGGCTCAACCTTCTAATCCTTCTTTCACTGACTACTAGGGAAGGAAAACTAAGCTGTAACTGTAGTTGGCAGTTCGAGTTCTGGACGGATGGGACCTGAAGCTCACAAGTAATAACAAGTCAGTGTGCTCTTACTTCTGAGTTCTAGTTCTTAGCAGCACAAGCGGGAGCCAGGGGGAAGGCCTGAAGGTTGCAAGCCCATCCAATTCAACTCCTACTGGAACTGGCTTACTTTCGCTTTCAAACGGGGCTGCGCCGGGACTCCAAAAACAAAAAAGGCAAAGGGGATCAAAGGCAGAAAGAAGTGATTAGGCCCTGAGGACTGCAAGGGGAGAGGTTGACCACTGGACTCTAACTGCCCGCAAACTCCTGGTATTCATGCTATGCCCCTTAGCCACTTATCCTAGTTAGACGAGGCAAAGCACGAAGCACAAGAAGGGATCAGCACTCTGACAGATATTGGTGAGAAGACTGAGACACTTCGCCCTTCCAAAGAAAAGGCGACTGCTAGCGAGCAGGAGGACGAAATGAGGGGGCCATCAGAGAAAGAAGTCCCACCGAGATTGGCAGGGACTAAAGAGAATCCCATTTCTCCAAGGGACAATATCCAATAAATAGAAGAAGAAAGTCTGCCCAAGGCATGTACCAAATCTTTCACATACCCCCACCAGGTCTCTGGCTCCGCAAAGAAACTAGCTAAAACAGAGCTCGCATGAATTGCTCCTAACATAGGGGATTGCCTCATCCGCACCGCCAGCAAGCCTTTCTACCTTTCTACAGCGAAGATTCAAGGAGAACGTTGATTTCAAAGGAGTCTTCGGTCCAGCTTGAGCTTGATTGTAAGGAAATTGAGCTTGATTCTAAGGAATCGAAAGCTAAGCGAAGACCATCTATCCCTACCCCTAAGCCACTGTTGTTAAAAAACCAATGCAAAAGAGAAAAATAAATGAAAGAAAAAATGAATCTAGTTCAAATAATAAACAAAAAGAATAAATAAATAAGGCAGAACGAGAATAAGCCAAATAGTCCCTCATTGAACCAACTTGAATCTTCACTTCTATTTAGAACGCAAAAGCCCATCTTTTTCTTTATATGTCTAAGGAATTCTGGATTTTTCGATTGCTCCTTATAAATGGGTCGTAGCATTGAATGTACTCTCGAGTGATCGAATGACTCTCTATGACACAATTACTGACCTATGGATGGAGCGATCCCCTCGTAACCAGGATTCTATCACGATCGATTGAACATCTAGTGAACGCTTTAGTCTTGTCTCATCCGGATTGATTGACTCCAGAACTAGCTTACTGAGCGAATCCGAATTCATTTCGAGACGTGGAGACTGTTCAAACTGAGTATGTTGGAATCTATCAAGGTTTTTGGCTCGCAATAAAGCTAGGGTCCTGATCGAGCAACTAGTAGTCCTATCTATCCACCTCTCCAGACACAATATCTTGAGTACCTATGATGGTGACCACATCTGCTGGCATGTGATGTTTGGACATAGAATCGAGTCCTTGTGAATGGGCAGAGCCAGGTGCTCTTATTTTACGACGGTAGGGACGATTGCTTCCATTACTGACCAGAAAGACACCAAATTCTCCTTTAGGTGCTTCAACTGCGGTATAGGTAGAAGGAGCTGGTA